TTTAACAACTCTATCCTTAAGGAAGGCTAGAAGGTTGTCCCTGGTGGGGTAAGAGGAAGGATTCATTTTATAAGAGACAGAGCAGCTCCAGTCCCGAAGCTCCTCAGGATTGCATGCAGCGTGTGCTTCTCCATGCAACTATGTGTCCTTCCTGTGTTCTCCTTTCTTCTCTGGCCTTGATTCATTGACCTTTTCCTGGATGGAAATCTCCAGAACAGATTAAATACCACAGTGCTGAGGAGCAGGATCATTAGCAAAACTTCAGCAAGGATCTTGAGGCATGATTCCAAGACAGTCAGAGGGTTCCCTGTGGCTCTACTGACAGGTCAGTACAGCTTGGAACTTTGTAAGGCAGCAAATTTGTGAGTGGTGACACCAGATGTCCAAGATAATTCCAGAAATATCACTTTCAGGGTAAAATATCATATCTTCTGTGTGTGGATCTTTGGTTGAGGTCAGGGCTTCATTCAATAACATCTGAGTTTTTGGAGGGTCCTGAGCAAGCAAAAACTGGACCTGCTCTTGATTTTCTTGTGGCCCTCCAGGGGCCTCTGAGGAAAACTAGTATTTTCACGAATAACTCATGTGGTTTGATACCACAGAGCTTTTCAATAAAAAAATAGTATGTAGCCATTGTTTTCTACCAGATATTAAGAAATAAAACTCATCCAGAATGCGGAGATCTCTTTGAAAATTAGCCCATGGTTTGGGGATGAAGGTCAGTGTTAGAATTTGCCTAGCATGTGCAAGGGCACAGATTCCATTCTCAGCACTGCAGAAACAAACCAGTCTACTCTGAGGATTGTGTTCAAGGCTCGTTTCTGTGAGCCTTTTGCATTAGTGTCAAATTTTTGACGACAGAATTTTAGGGGTAAGTTGTGTTATGCTCAAGCTGGATAAATGACAGCTGTTTATTAATATGTGCAACTGGCCAATTAGTGAAGAACCCATTCTGTAAACCTTAATTGCTCTAACAAAAAACTGCCGTTATCTGTTGTATGTTACAATAGATTACAGATTTCAGGGGAAATGAGAGGGCAAGTAGACCACTGTTAATCTGGAATCTGGGGCCACTGAAACTATTTGATGTCACATAGCTCATTAGTGTTGAATAGCATTATATTCTGTGTTGAGGGAAGCCTGGTAAGGGTAACCCTGAGTTGGGGACTGTCCAGGGACAGGCCTGCTCGTACCATCTGTCTAACAATCTCTGTTTCTGTTATCTTAGCTCTATTCCTGAGCTTGTGATGAGAGCACAAGCTGTGTTGTTTTCCTTGTTACCTGAGACCTAAGGTTCCTCAGCAGCAAACCTCATCAGCAAAGGCCACAAAGGGCTGGTTTGCAGCATAGATCATCTCCCCTCCCTCTATGGAAGACACCAGTGGCTTGATGTACACCTGGATCTGTTAAAGGTGAACAAAGGCCACACCACCTTGGTTTTAAATGCCCAATAGTGAAATGTTCATTTGTCCTCCACCTCCTTCCCTTCCTTCCCTGTTAGAAGTAAATCGTCATTCAAAGGTTAACTTACGGATTCCTAGCTGGGTATTCTGTCTCATTCTATGTGATCCTCCTAGTCGACCAATGAAGGATTGGAAATTATGTTGGGATGTTTTCTTTGGCCATCCTGAATTAGGCTCCTACTGGGAGATACCAAAAATAGTTGTTCATTTTAAGCTGAATTTTTCTTAATATTATACTGCTGGAGATTTCCTGAATGATGCAACTAAATATTGTTTCCATGGGCCAAATGCTGCAGGCCTTTGTAGAGCTGTTTTGTCATATATTACCTTGCTAATAGTGTTGCTTGCTTCGATTTTAGTTGTCTAATGCCTCAGTAAGTGTATATTGTGAATATGCACGCACATCTTTCCTAAAAATGGGGGTGGTTGTAGAAATGTCAACTGTTTTGTACAGTAGAGGGTGTTCATTCATTGTCTTGAGTGCCAATTATTGAAGGTGTCAGTTTGTGATTAAACCACTTTTTCCATCATGATTAATGGCTAAAATGGTGGTGATGTACTATTTTGTAAACTGAAAAACTTGGTCAGGGTACCTGTGGGAGCAGTCAGTTAGACCAACATGAAAGAAGTAAATGAACTGAGTCTAGTAGACTGTATTCTGTTATCTTACATTTTAAGTCAACTCAGGAAATTCTTTGCATTTCATATTGATTGAAATCACAGTTTTACTTTTAACAGTATAGTCTTCAGTAGAGAGTTTGTATCTTGTACTCATTTCGGTCTATTCTCAGCAAATGTGAGTATGTTTTTAGTGTCAGTTTTCATTTTTATTAGAACTTCATTTTAAAAATAACAGTCAATGCAACTTTGTGAATGAATACTTTTCTTTCTTATGCAATTAATTTGCACCATTTTACAACTCCAAGCATCGTGTAATCCCTCATTTAAATTACAACCAGGAGACTTTTCTTTCCCTTGTTCTCTTTTTATATGTCCTAGTTACTATTTCACAGCAACCCATTTAGAGACGTCCCTGAGAAGTTGAGCAGCTTCTGTGGAGTCATCAGGGAAGTCTTATTTGATCTTACTACTTAGAATTTTACTCACTTGCCAGTTCTTGGTGCATAGAAACACAGATAGTACTTTCATCAACAGCACACCGTTATCTGGGGTTCCAAGCTGATAAAAATGTCACTTAAGGAACAGTGGGGCTTAGACAGGGATGTCTTGTTCACTATTAATCTTTAGGGACTGATTAGTCTAAGATATGAAGTTAATGTTGTCTGTTGTGATTGCCCAAGAGCCTGGTTATCAGCCTAGCAATTGGGTAGAGGCTCATCCATTTACACCCCCTGCACACTCATTGGGACAGTACTGAACAATATTGGGTGGGGCTTTGGGTTTAGATTGGCGGACACTTCAATGAAGAATGTGACCAGGAGCTGGGTTATGCACTTTTCTTCAGAGAGGACATTCTTGGCCCATGAGTGCCCATGATACTAAAGGAAATCTTTTGTGTCTCATCTCTTTAGCAGGAGGAGCAATCTCAGAACTGCTATGAAGACTGTGAAACTCTTTGTTCTTCTCACCTTGTCGTCAGGTAGCCTTTGGACAGTGTGGCCAGTCATTTGGGATTGGCTTTAATTGAAAACAAAGGCCTCTACCTCCCACCCAGGAGGTGGAAGGAGTGGATTTTATGTTTGAAGGAAGAAGTGAATTATGGAAGAAGAGCACAGGTCCCTGCCTTCCCTTTCAAGCATAAGTCCAAATAGGCTCTCAGGAATGAGGATGCGTGAAGACGTCAGGAGATCTGACTCGCTTCAACTTCACACTTGGTTGTGTTGCTGGTGAAAACTGCCCAGGTTTTGTTCACCTAACTGTTGAAGTCACATCCTTGGGACATGTATTCCCGTCTCCTGTTGCCTTCCATCCTCAGTGCATGTCCTTGAGTGACTTGTTCTTTTCTGAAATTTTGCTACCAGTATCCTCGGAAAACGAATGCATTTTCTGTTTCTTTCATTCATAACTTCCCCTCCCAGCTGCTTCCTGTGTTTCTCTATTGTGTATAAAGGTTGGACAGAGAGGTGAGTGCCTGAAAGATTTCAAATTGGCAGAAAAGGAAGGAAGATAAAAGGGGCCTGTCATTCTGTCTTACCACCTTTTGCCCAGGAGGCTGGATGGGCTCCAGAAAATCCGGGGTTTCCCTGCATTGCATGTTTTCCAGTATCAGGCCTGTTTGAATAATCATGGTTTTGGGGTATGATTAGTTTTATCCATCTCCAGCTAAGAATCATCAACAGTTTGTGTATTACTTTACCTGTGTTGACTTCCAGAGTTAGAAACAAAGCCAGGTGTATTTCTCCACAAGCCTCTATATCATGGGGTTGGGGCACCACAGCAGCAGCTCACTTCAAATCAAAGATCAGGTTCATTTGTCAAATCATTGCCCGTGGAGAACTCATCTCCACCAGCCACAGTGTGTCTCTTCCTGGAGCCAGGCCCCCTGTGTTTTCACTCACTTCCTTTCTGTGAAAGGTTGCTTAGCTTTTTTTACCCTTCTCTTTCTCACCCTGGCTTTCTCTGCATTTGCTGTTCTTTTAATAAAAATAGCAAATTGGATGGATGTGTATAATAAGTGTTTGAAATTTTCTGAAAATCCAAAGTCTGGAAGCCAAGTATGGAAAGAGTTAGTAGTGTCTCTGGCAATAGCTTTTGGCTTGCCCTAGGGGCATACTTTCTCGGCATTGAAAGGGGGTTTAAATACTATGCTAATTGTGAAATCTGTATCAGTTGGTGGAGGCTCCTTCAGATAGCCAAACCCATTGATTACTTTATATTGTGGGGTAGAAGTGAGAGTGGACATTGCAGGAAGTCTCCAGAGTCATGGCTGGTGCTGCTTCCTCAAGGGTGTGTGAGACCAATGTTTGTGATTGGTAAGGGGCTCACACATGACATGTTTTTATTTGTAGATACTTTATCCATGTCCTATCTCTCTGTACAGCACCCTGCATAGTGAGCAAACTGATACAGGGGTTCTGCCTTTCCTGTGTGGAGAGGCTTGATTTGATTTCCTCCATCTGGGTGCTAAAGCTGTGTCCATTTCCATTCACTGGCTACTGAGAGAATCAGCCCGGGCCCTGCCAGACTGCCTCTGGCAGCAGCTCCTAATAATTATTTATGCTTTTAGACTTTTTCGTCAGCTTCTGGAACCTTCCATCCATTTTCAGCTAGGATTGTTTTGATTTGTGTAATATATGTGTATGCTTCTCTTTCTTTTTGTTGTCTTCCCTGCCTCTATTTGTTTCTTAAAATGTTCTGTAGTTTTGTACAAGATGAGACTTAGCCTTGAGTACTTCTTGCTAAAGCTTTAATGCTTTGTAAATAAAACGGGATGTTTGTTAATCCACAAGTATAGGTGTTTGTTTGTAAACTGCCTGCTTCTGGAGCTCAGCAGCCACTTGGTTTTGTACAATAGAAGATAAGTGTGGAGTTTAGATCTTTCTCTAGTCATTTGGATCTGGAAAGGTAAGGCAGTTTGGATTTCTTCCTTTATACAAACTAGAAATAAGTGACTTGAGCTAAAAGTTGATGTTAATTTAAAACAAGGTCATCCAGGAATCTCCATATTCTTTAACTCAGTATAAGCTTTGAAGAGGCCACAATGCTAGGCATTCTGGTAGGGTACAGTAATGCATCCTAGAGCCTTCCAAGGATCTTTGTTAGTCTAAATATAGTTATATTCTTCCTTGTTAGTCATTTCTATGATTAATAACTTTAACATCCATACTGAATATGCATTGTCTCATAAAGAATAAGGTTTCTCAGAGTGGTTCTCAGCCTTCCTAATGCTGCTACCCCATTAATAAGTTCTTTGTGTGGTGGTGACTCCAACCATAAAATTATTTTCGTTGCTATTTCATAACTGTAATTTTGCTAATGTTATTAATCATAATGTATATATCTGATATTCAGTATATCAGAAATGTGACCCTGTGAAAGGGTCATTTGAGACCCTCAAAGGGATTGTGACCCACAGGTTGAGAACCACTGCTACTGTGGTATGGTTTTAATGAATACCAAATTGGTCTGCTTACTAATCTCCTGTCTTGTCACTAAGAACCCATCTTCTTCATCATAACCGTTTCATAGCAACCTTGGGTGATGTAAACAAACAATGAACTCCTCTGTTCTTCAGGGTAAATAGAGAAGACTAGAGAGTCAAGCAGCATCATTCATCCTCACACCTAGTATCATCCTGGTTCTTTGGAAAAGAGAATACCTGGAACAAGACAGGAGCTGCCTCTGCTGTAGCCTCACTTGCTCCTTCGGAAGGGTGTGTTGGACTAAATATTCACACACACACCCTTTAGTATATTTAGTATCTTTAACTCCTATTATGTAGCTGAAAATGCCCTGGAACTTCTGACCTTTGTGAGTGCTGGGATAGGGGATATGTTGCCACACAACAGTGTGCGTGGTGCTGGGGATCCACCTAGAGCTTCATGTGTGCTAGGCAAGGGCTCTGCCAGCACTCACTGAGCGTTCTCTTTTCTGTTGAGACGGTTCTCGTCAAATAGCCCAGGCTAGCCTTGAATTTGCCATCATTCCTGCCTCTGCCTCTAGGTGTTGTCACCACCATTTCTTTAAAAATCTTTACAAATGAAGGTAGTTGACACTGGGGAAAACGTTTTCAGGTGCAGTGTTCAAAGTGACCTTCCTGAAACTAGACAGGGAGATCTCGGTTTGCAAAGGGAGAAAAATAGAAATGGGAGTCAAGTGACTCTAGAGTTATCTTTTTAGTTTTTTGAAGCAGGGTTTCTCTGTGTAGTTTTGGAGCCTGTCCTGGAACTCACTCTGTAGACCAGGCTGGCCTTGAAGTCAGAGATCCACCTACCTCTTCCTCCCGAGTGCTGGGATTAAAGGCATTTGCCGCCACCACCTGGCCAGAGTTATCTTTTTAATGGATGTGGTTTATAGGAACATTCACAGTAAAGAATTAAAGGTACTCAAATTAACATTTCAACCCAGCCCCGCCTCACCACTTTCTTAGGACTGGTTTTTCTATCTGGTCAGGTTTAGCATGGGATTTGGAAACTTCCACAGTTTGAAGGAAGGGAACTGCAATTTACTTCAGCTTCTGAGGCCTTTCCCTTTTTTGTTCTTAAGCCCGTGGGTTTCAATTCATTAGGAGGAAGTGACAAGAAAGACACCTGTGAAGATGCCCCTGGCAAACTTAGACATCAGTAGTGTTTTTTTTCTTCTGCCTGTGGCCTCACCTAAGGATAAGGACTGCGCTTCTGTGCACATGTGTGCAGGTGCACGTGTCTGCTTTGTTGACAGCTATGCATCATAATCCCTCAATGCCAAGGGTTATTCCAAGTTGGAGAATCTGTGTTACAGTACAATAGAGCCTTCATCTGGAATGCCTGCTGGTAAAATGCCTACAGAGACATGAAGCCTGGGGCCACTGTTTTTATCTTTGGGAGCCTGGTGTTGATAATCTACCTGCCTTTGGTGTTGATGACACCTAAAACACTGGCCATCCCCAAGAAGCTACAACAAGCTGTGGGGAGAGTCATTGTCAATGCCACAACATGCACTGTTACATGTGGCCTTGGCTACAAGGAAGAGACCGTCTGTGAGGTGGGTCCTGATGGAGTGAGGAGGAAGTGCAAGTCCCAGCGCTTGGAGTGCCTGACCAACTGGATCTGTGGGATGCTCCATTTCACCGTCGTCCATGGGGAAGAGTTTGAGCTGAACTGTCTCAGCTCAGACATCCTAGAGGTGGGGAAAGAAGCTTTCCGCTTTACCTGGAAGCTTGCTCGGGGCATCATCTCTACTAATGATGAGGTTTTTAAACCCTTCCGGGTCAACTCTCACTTTCTGCGATTTAAACCCGCCTATGAGTATGACTCTGGGACATACCGATGTGATGTGCAGCTGCTGAAAAACTTGAAATTTGTCAAGAGACTCTATTTTGGCCTGAGGGTCCTTCCTCCAAATTTGGTAAACCTGAATTTCCATCAGTCCCTCACTGAGGACCAGAAGTTAGTAGATGAGGGCTGGGAAATTAATCTAGACAACCATTCTAAGCCTGACCTCCCTAAGTGGCAAAAGAAGGTGGCATCAGCCGTGGGCATAGGGATTGCTGTTGGAGTGTTCGGTGGCGTGCTGCTGAGCGTTGCTGTCCGCAGAGTGCTGGGGGGGATTGACAGCAATGGCGGCCTCAGCAGCTGATGATACCACCCTTACAACTGGGAGGCTGGCTGCCCGGGAAGCCAAGCTAGCTTGTACGTGAGTGTCCTGCCCCTCTGATAGTGAAGTGACAAGAAAAGGGCTCCTAGAGTCAGCGGTTGGCCAGGAGGCTTGGAGGATGCAACCTCATCCCCACACTGCTGTTCAGGGCAGCAGTGTCTATTGTCTTCAGATTTTCTCATACTGGGTGCTCAGGAAACCCACTCACGCCTGGCCTTGCTTCTGTTCTAGCGGAGTTGTGTCCTCCAAGCTTGCTCTTTTTCTTTTTGTGTTTTAGGGTGCATGTGCCACTCACCTCCATCCCACTCCTCTGAACTGTGTGTGTGGACCAGAATGTGCTAGTAGCAGTTTGGGTGGAAACTTTTTATTTTTGTTCAATAAAGAGAATTCGCAGTAACAGTATGGCACCCTAACCCTTTGTTACTTTATGTAAAGTTTCTCACATGTAGAAACTGCCATAGTTGGCCTGGTTTTCCTTTTCCTTGGGTTTCCTAGAACATGCCTTGGGCAGGTTGCTTTGTGTGGGCTGTATGTTGTAAAGGTGAACAATGGCACCTGACTCTGCTGAAAGACAGTCTTAGTGTGAATTTCTGGCAAGAAACAGAGAGATAAACCTGAAAGCCCATCCCCAGTGACATACTTCCTCTAGCAAGGTCACCAAATAGCCACCAACTGGGAACCAAGTACTAAAATGCTGGAGACTTATGGGGGATATCTGATTCTAACTGCCACAGCACCCATTGACTGCCCAGATTCATCATCTGTTAACTTCTTCTTATAGGGGTATATTGATTTTGTGGAATCATTTGGAAACTAGACAGAAACATGACTCTCTGTGTGTGTGGGGGGGGCACTGAGCCATAGGGATCCACCTGTCTCTGCCTCCCCAGTACCAGTATTACTCGTGATCATCTTGTAATCATCATCCATACCCAGCCTTTGATGTCCTCAGGGCCTCAGGCTTATGCAGCAGTCAGTGTCTTTGCCAGCTGAGTTTTCTCCTGCATAGCCAAGTGCCTTTGTCACACCCAAGAAAACCAACAGCTGCCGGTGCTACATCCCGCTCCTGTTCAGTTTCATTTTCAAAACCCTCAAAGCGTTTTGGTGTAATTTTAATCCAGCATGGAAGACACGCATGCTGCACTTTTCTCTTCAGTCTCTTAGCTAGCCCTCACATTGTTTCTCCCATGTTGACTCACTGAAGAGTCAGGCTTTTCCAGTAGTCTTAGATGCTGTCCCACAGCCTGGACATGCCATGTCCTTGTGATTAGCTTCACCTTTTGAGCCCTGCACAGATACATATTTACTGTGTCGCACCAGGAGGCTGAGATGTTTCTCTGTCTGTCACCTCAGAAACAGTAGTTTCAGAAGACCTGGTCCTGGCCCCACTCTGTCGAACCATATGACAAAGCTAGTCTTGACTTTGACACGGGTGTTTATGAGGGCCCAGGGAAATCCTCTGAGGTGAGCAGTTTTGTGAAATGAAGTGCTGGGTTTGGGGAATGTCATTCAGTCTGTTTGCTGGAACACTCAAGGATAGCTCACTCTAAAGAGGACCGTGAAAGATTCTGTTGTATGTAAGAAGGGTCTGCTGAAGGGTCCTGCTTCACGTTTTGTAGATGGAAACCACTTAGGACCAAACTTTTCCAGCATTTTGTTGCAGGTCAGTAGTCAAGCACGAGGTGAGTGGTTCTTGGTTCATAGCCTCTGTGTGCCTTGGGTTTTTGAATTTTGACTCAGATTTTGAAGCAAATGAGCAGAGAAGAGAACAAAAGACTTTCAGATGGGCTTTATAAAAGTAATAACTCAGTTCTAACTGGACATGGTGGCATATTCCTGTAATCCTAGCTATTCGGGAGACTGAGGCAGATGAATTCCAAGTTCAAAGCTAGTCTAGGCTACACAGGGAATTCATGGTCAGCCTGAGCAATTTAGCAAGATTCTGAATGGCTCTGACTTCAGCAGTAACTAATCCCCCCACCCCCCTCACCAATTCATTTCCCTACTTCTGTGCCTATCACTGCCCTGGGAAGGTGGAGAGGCTGACAAAAGACTAAAGTCTGTGTGGACCGCATGTCATGCTGGAAAGGCCCTGGTCAGAAGCTAAGTATTGCGTGGAGGGGTTTTCATTCAGTTTCCTTTCCTTCCTCAAAAAACTGGGACGCAGCATCATAGCATGGTGTCCTACTCATTCGATACTGGAAATCAAACCAGCACTGCCTAGTGTATCCCTGTGTGTGCTCACCTGTAATGAAGTGTGATATGTTCATCATGTGAGTGTCGAGCCTTAAAACTAGGAGTTCCCCTCTTTGGGCCATCCTGATTGAACAACAGAGACAACAGTCATCCCCTTACCAGGTGGGGTCATTAATCCCTTCATAGAGGGGACCTTCCTTCAGGACAAGAGAGTCAGCACTTGAAATGGTTTGAGATCAGGGGACCTAGAAGTGGCTCTGTCCCCCAGTATGTTGACCGGCATTAGATAAAGCCTGCTCAGGTTAGCTGAAGGCAAATTGTGCTCTGCTGCTGCCTACAAGTTGCCTGGCCTGTGTTTTCGGGGAAGCAGTCTGTACGGTGTGCAGCTTCCTCAGAGTTGGCCATGCGAAGGGTGGCACGGACCCCTTAGTGAGGTGATACGGACCGCAGCTGCAACCAGTTGCTTGGGCAGGTTGAAAAAAACATCTTTATTAAGAACTGTTTGCTCTCAGAGTGAATAAATAACTATTACAAGAGTGAACAGTGGGCTGGGGTGGCGGGGCTGCATTTGAACAGGGACTGTCATCAATGGTCCAATTAAGCCCTGAGATCAGAGCTGTACAGGCTCTGAAATGGGGGCTAAATTGGAGGTATCTGGTGCCAAGGCAGGTTGAGTCTCATCTCTAAAGAAACTATGGGCTGTGGGCCTCTGAGGCTACCTGGACTCTGGACAAAGCTGTCTGACCCATTTTGTTCCTCCAGTTTTTCTTCAATGCCCTGTTTTCCTCAAAGCCTATGACCAGGTTCAAGAGGCACAACCCCATCCCCAGCTCCCAGCACTGTTTCCAGTGAGCTTGAAGTCCTTTAGGGTCCCTCTTAATTCCACCTGGAGATCCCCTCACCAAGTTTGGTCTCAGCTAGCAAGACAGAGCACCACACTTGAACTAGTAATAGGTATGAGGACACTGCTGTCCCCTGGCATGCAGGAGCCGTATTGGCTATTTGACACTAGGAAAAGAAAAGGTGCCTTGGTTGCTGGGAAAGGCATGAAGGGAGGAAAGCCTCACTAGCCACACTGAGCTCTTGGCCAGGGCACAGGTGAGAATGGCTTTTGGGGACTGCAGAGAAGCAGTGCCCCCTGGGGAAGGCACTAGTGTGTAAGGACTGCTCTGTGATGGACCATTCCCTTGGATGGCTTTTTTAAGCTGTAGGGACCATGGCACCTCTAAGGCTTTCCTGTGTTAGGCATTTTGATTCTTAAGAGCTGAGCTCCAGAAGGACTCAGCACCTCCTACCCCTCAAGTCAGGACTTAACCCATCCAAGATCCTGCAAGAACACTCAAAGTTTCTTCAAAGCTTACTCAAAAGAAGAACCTGCCGGGTGGTGGTGGCGCACATCTTTAATCCCAGCACTCAGGAGGCAGAGGCAGGCGGATCTCTGTTGAGTTCGAGACCAGCCTGGTCTACAAGAGCTAGTTCCAGGACAACCTCCAAAGCCACAGAGAAACCCTGTCTCCAAAAAACAAACAAATAAATAAATAAAACTTCTTCATTCCTTAAGACTTTTCTGACCTTGGCTTCATCCTGTCCTGTTCTTTGTCAAACCTCTCATTCCTGCCCCATAACCTCACTGCCCCCCCCACTACTGTTGGGGTCACCTGCTACCCGAGACGGCAAAACCACTCTCATCCGCACCATCAGATGACAAGGAGATAGTTCAGTGGTGGGTTGAGTCCTTGTGTAGACAGAAGAGAGAGCATTTCCCAGCCTCTCAAGAGGTAGCAGGCAGCTCTCTCCCTAGCCCTTAGAGACATTTCTTGCCTGCTAAACCCAAGCAGAGTATTTGTTTGTGGCTGTTCCTTTTACCTCTTGTGGTTTAGTGTGAATGGATGCTATCTCTAACAAGTCATGACAGTAGCAGGAGCAAGTCCACCGGCTTCCCCAGCCTGTAAAACTCAGGAGGGCCCTTGGCCCGGAAGGGTCTCTAAGAAGCCGTTTAATCTAGCCCTCTTTTCCAAGCCAGTTAGGGCCCATGTTGGTGAGTCACCTGTGGTTTTGTTACACTGTAGCTAACACTCCACCTGAAGCCCCAAGCTTCAAGCCCCCCAGACAAATTCTACCTGCACAGGACTAAGGTTTTCCTCTCCTGGGTCTCCCAGCAGCTTGCCTGCTTTTCACAGACCTTGACAGAAAAAAAGGTTAGGGGCTGCAGCCTCCCATCTCCCAGTGTCAAACCAGCTCACCTAAGATAGTCACGTGTCTAGCGTCCCTCCTGGAGCCCAAGGCAGTGAGAAATAGGTAAATGTTGGGAGGTTTCTTTCCATTGTCCCTTTCTAGGATTAGCTGGGATTAGGATTAGACTAACTGTGAGGTCCTGGTGAGGGAGAATGATCACATGGCTGAGCTCCTAGCACCCTTGTATGTAAGGTGCTGGGAGCAGGGGAGGGGATTGGATCAGCTCCAGGAAAGCAGGGAGAAGGAGTGCAAGTGTACATCTTTAAAAAATTGTAGTGGGTAATTACTAACCTAAACCTGCCCAGGAAAACAGAGCAGGGCTTAAAGTTTAAAAAACCATAACAAAATAGAGCTCTAACTGTAAACTACAGAAACAGGCCATGGAGCTGCAGGGCTAGTGCCTCCTGAGGCTCTTGCTCTGCTGCTCCTGTGGGCCGAGGGTGTGGACACTGGGGTTTCCTGGTTTCGGGAACTCTGTCCTTGCTTTGGCCTCTTAGAGCACAGATAGGACCTGAGAGGCTTCGAGCCAGTGCCGCTTGCTGAGTTCCCAGCAGAGGCTTGTCTCAGATGGCCGATGACTCCCGGAATCTACCTGGACTGGGCTTCCATGCTGATCTTCTCACCAGCCGGAACTTCTCGGAGCAGAGGACTCATCCTTCAGAGGCGTCGGCAACCTTAGTGAGCAGGCTGTGGCTGCTCAGCACCACACCTCCTTTCTCCACACCTCCCACAGGCAGGCGGGAGCCTCTGGTGCTTGGCCAACCCTTGCCACTTACGGGCCATGTGACCCGAGGAAGTCCCTAACCCTCTCTGGGCCACCATTTCCTCATCTGTCAAGTGCAGGATATGGGTCAGCCAAGCTATAAGGCCTCCTCAGTTCTGGTAGTCTGGTCTGTCACTGGTTATGTACCCCGAGCTCAAGGTAGGCTGCCCCCTTTATTAGCCCCATTTTCTTCGGGGAATCAGAGTAGTCGAGGCAGTTTGGGGAGCAGCTGTGGCCAGGTGGAGGAGGGTACTCCTGGAAGCAGGCAGGGCCACAATGATGCTGGCCCTTCTCAGAGGCCTTTTCATCCCAGGACAAAGAATGGATGCTGTGTCGAGGGTTTGTTTCCAGGGCCTGCAATTAAACGGGAGGTGGAGGCAGGCATAGATCTGCCGCAGAGCCGAAGGGAAGAGAGTGGCGTTCAGCTGGACATGTCCTGCCCACACCCTGGAGGGGCTGAGAAGGAGGCATCTCGATGGGGCAAGGCAACTCCTCGAGACAAGCCCTTTAGTCACCTAGCAACCTGGAGTGGCTCTGTCACTCTGTGGGTTGGGTTGGCAGTGCTGGCTGAGAGGGCAGTGCTGCCTGCATGGTGCATAGGCCTTGGGCCCAGGCAGGTACCCTTTCCATCAGGTGCTGTAGCCTCTCAACCCCTTTGAGCTCCTCTCCCCAGTAGCCTGGGGCCCTTGGCTACCAAGCGGGAAGGACTGCCAGGGAGCCATGGAAGACCATGTCAGGACCAGCTGCACTGTTTCTCCAGCGAGGACTAGAAGAGGCCCCTCTGCTTCATAGAGAGGAAAATGATATCCCAGGATTTCAGCCCACTGTTGACTGTGTTCCTGCTAGGCCTGGAACTCTGATCTCAGATGGCAGTGCCCATGCATGGCCCCAGATCTGCTTGATCTGAAGATGCATATTAAATGCCTTCTGTCCAAAGGCCTGTTCCTTCTGTCCAGGACCCCAAGTGGTCCAGGCACTGGGCCTAGTGTTATCACGGAAGTCACTGCCCAGTGCCCCTGGATTCAAAGAAAAATCCCTTGCATGGTTTCTATCTTGTGGCAGAATAGAAATGCCCTACCTCCTACATAAAGGGTACTTTTGGGGGCGCCTAAGCCAACCACTCTCAGGCACAGTGTTGGACCACCGCGGTGTTGGAGGAGGGTTGTGGCCAGCGGCTGTGTCCGTTAGGGTGGGTGGCCAGCTTGGGTGTGGCAGGCAGTGATAAGATCAGAGCTTCTGGCAGCCAATGAGCATCAGTATCACCACACAGGAGAACATGGGGCCAGGATGGGTGGGGCGGACTGCTGCATTCTCCACCATCATGCTTGTTCCTGAAACCAGCAGTGAAAATTGTGGGGCTGGAGCCTTCCCCCCCCCCCATAGTAGGACGGAGAGCTCTTGAGAGGCACAAAGAGGCAAAGAACTGAACACCAGTGGTGGTCTTGGCCTTACTCGTGCAGCACTGGCTAAGGCCCTTGCTCTTGGTCTCCAGCTTTCCGTAAAAGAGGTACACTCCCTTCCGTGCCTTGGGGTGGCTCTAGGGTAGGGAAGGGACAATGACATGGCCACTAGTCATTCTTGCCTGCCTCTTTCTTTCTCCTTGTGGGGATCTAGGTTAGAGTTGGCTCCTGGGGACAATCCTTTCACCAGTATCTGGGGGACCGATATGGTTGAGGGGCAGAGATGGGGAGGAGAGGGGCAGTACCTCCATTCCTCACGATGTGGACTTCTGCTGGGATCCCATCCCCTCCCGGCCCTGTGGTTCGAATCTGTACCAGGGCGTGGCCAATGTCTTCAGGTACTGGGATTTCTATCCAGTTCTTGCTGGTGAAGTGGAGTGTAGGAGTTGGGTGTAAGTCATTCTGATACAGCATCTGTAGGATAGAAGTTTCCAGGTACAGCTTCCTGGGCCCTTGAGGGTTTGTCTTTTTGCATCCTTCAGCTTCCCATTGGCCAGGCTTCTCATTGGCGGGAGGCAAGAGTGCGAGCAGCTAAACTCTCTTGTCAGACTCCCTGCCCGCCACTGCCCTGCCCTGTCTGCAGCTGCACCATGTGCCTGTTTTGATCGTCTCTACCCAGAGCACCTGTGCTTCATGTCTCTCCTAGCCCCAAATGCCACATTCCTGTTTCTCAGGTCTTCTTGCTTGGAACTGCAGCTCTCTGTGGCCACTGCAGAGGTGGGAGCACTTCCTCCTGGTGGCCATCCCGTGGGCCCCGTTCTCACCTTGTAGCCGGTGACTGTGGATTCGTTTAGGAGAGGTACCACGGGGTCCCACTTAAGGTTGAGACTGGAGCTTGAGAAAGTCCAGGAGATGTTGCCAGGAGGTCTCCGTGGTGCTGCCAGGGGAGGGAGGACGGGAGACACTGCCGTGTGATTCCACGGCCCCAACTCTCACCACTGGCCAGCCCCTGTCTGAGGCCTACCCATATAGAAGGGGTTCTCAGAACCGTCTGTCACCATGACAACCCAGAAGTTGCAGAAGGGAAAGATGCCTCAGAAGCCATGACTCAACTGCCATGTCTCAGTAAAGGTCCTCTGACCTGCTTCGGCCTGGTGCCGACCGTGTGGCAGGAATAAGTGCTTTACTGAATAAACAGAGGCCCTACAAGTCCCTGCCCCGTGGCACATGCCTTTCCTTAACCCTGGCAGACACTCACGGGGCTTCATGGTCACGGCATCGGCTGAAGGGCTGGCTGGTCCAGTGCCAGCCCGGTTGTAGGCCCTCACGGTTACGTGGTACTTTGTGTTGGGGTACAAGCCAGTGACTCGGGCACTGGTGTCTAGCCCTGCAGTCCTCACTCGGTCTGCGGCTGCCTCATTGTCTCCGGCTTTCCAGTAGCGAATCTAAAAGGGGCAGGGTATGCTAAAGTGTATGGCGAAGCTTTTGGCTACCCAGCCTGCATGCCCCTTTCCCACCCGGGCTGGTCCTGTGGTAGACTCTAGTTTGATAACCTTCACTCTAGGTCAGGGTCACGTGGCTATGAGCTCCCGCATCTGTGGGTACTCAGCGGTGTCTAGTCCAAGGCAGGTGTCAGTATATGGGGTGAAAGAGGAAGTGTGTAGCCAGGGGAGAACTGGTCTTGGTGAGGAATTAGTGATGCCGGGAGGAATGACGAGTAAGTCGGCAGATGCTCCCACCTACTCTGGGGAGCCCAGCCTTGCCTCTTGGCAGCTCCAGCCGGCGCTTACCTCATATCCCAGGAGAATGCCATTCATGTCTTGTTGCACAGGCTCCCAGCTCACATTCAGCTCTGACGATGAGGACCCTTTGGCCCAGACCTTGGCAGGGGCCACCCTGGGCTCTGGGGACCAATAAAGAATGGGCATACATTCCTGAGACACCTCTGTGCCTCACAGAGTGGCCCTGACTAAGACTGGTATCTGCTTAGGATTTGGGGGATCCCAGGGCCCGAGATGAAGCCCAATGCTCAGGATGAAGCCCAGGGGACTCCAGGCGTACCCTAGGCTTGTTTCTCCTCCCGTAGGGCATCCCTTCTCCTTCCCTGGGCCAGGCAGTCAGGGTGAGCCAGGCACCAGGCCCAACAGCCCACCTTCCTCTGCTGAGTGCACTAGTGCGGTGAGGCTCTCTGGCCCATCCCCCCGACGATTGTAGCTTCGGATCTTGACCTCAAAGGGTGTGTAGGGATGGATGCTGTCGTTGCTGTAGATGAAGTATTGGGCATCAGCACCGGGCACCCGGGCAGTCTGCCAACTGGAGCTGCCTTGCCTGCGGAAGGACAGCAGGTAGCCGAAGCCATCTCCATTCTGGTACTCCCGTGACATGGGCTGGGGGCAAGAGCATGGTATGGGCCAGGGCTCATGGGTCCATGTCCCTGCCCATCCATCTGGCTCCACCCAGTCTTCACCCAGAGGAGTGGCCCCGGGATGCTTGTACCCTCTCAAGGGTTTAGTGAGAGGCTACAGGTGCATGGGGAGAAGGGAGGGAGGAAAGCTGCCAGCTTCCAAGTGAGACTTCAGTGGTCCTTTCGGATTGCTGCCACTGTGTCTGGAGATAAACTGGGAAGGGAGGGAAAGGGGCGTGACTCCTGAGAGGCTAAGACACCTGCCTGCTTCTGTGTCCCTGCCCACTTACAGTCCATTTGATGGTGAGCTCTCCAGGGGCTCCGCCCCCTCCGCTGAGTCCTGATGGTGCCACCGAGGGGACTGTCAGGGCCAAGGAACACAGATGTGTCATGTGGGTGGGCAGTTAGGGGGGAATCCTCAGCCTGTGTCTAGAGAGCATCTTAAATAGGACATCCTGATTTATCTTCCCATAGCCTTTCTAGGCATGGGCTCATCATGCCAGTCTAAGAACAATTCCCATTTTTGCTCTGCTACCTTGGGCAAGCTACTTAACCTTTCTGGGCCCTGGTTCTCCTCTCCATATGATGATGGCAATGTGTCTGTTAATGTTGGGATGAGAAGAGTTTAAATGAGAGACCAATCACCATGTAGTGGCTACCCTTGCATGTTGCCCTCATCCCTGCTGGCTTAGCTAAACCAGAGACCTACTCCAGCTTGCTTCAGTTGGTGGGGATAAAGAACAGCTAATGCAAACAGCAAACCCAGCCAATTCTGTTAGGGGAAATTCCACGGTATTTTATTGCTATTATCTTTCCTTTCCTCGCTCTTTCTCTTATTTCTTCCCTCCCTCCCTCTCTCCCTCCCTCCCTCCCTCCCTTCGTCTCTCCCTCCCTTCTCTTCCTCTCCCTTCCCTCTCTTTCTTTCCCCCTCATTTCTTCCTTTCTTCTTTCCTTCCTTTCTTTTTTAGCAGAAGATTTAATCTCCCTGTCTTTAGTATTATACAAGACTGATAAGCCCAAGGACGGCTTCCGTCAATTCAAAGAGGGTCCTGAGCATCTCTGCAGAGCACCCAGTGCTCAGAGGCTTTCACACTGTGATTCTGTAGCTTTGCATTCAATCCTCTGTGGAGCACATTTCCAAGACAGAAAGCCTGAGGTCCAGAGCAGTCAAGCAACTTGTCCAAGTTCACACACTAATGCACAACTCAGCTAGACTGTGATCTTACGATTTTAAAGATCACCGCTGTCTCTTTGCAGTGTGCTTGTCTGTGCTCATCAGTTCTTGAGATGCTAGAATCAAAGGGACCCCTCTCACCCCATATCCCCAAGAAGTTCAGTCAGAAAGCATGCCCTCTGGAATTTCCTACTCTAGACAGATGCCAGATAGAAATGTTGAGCGATTCTGGAGCCTGGGGAGCCAGCCTGGAGCAGGTAGGGGAGCATGTTTAAGGGGTGCATGGAGGTGGACCTTCTACCATACACAAGCACAGGTCTGGGCAGATGGAAGGAGGGAGACAGGGCCCTGACCATGACGCTGTCACATGATCCCAGGCCCTCCCCTGGGAATGGTCAGAGTATAGCAGGTGACTCTGGGCAGATGCAGCCCATTCTGTCTCCCTTCCTGGTTCTCTTCTCACAATCTTCCCTGTTCGGGCTCTGACACACATGCACTTTCACTGAGGGTCACAGACAGACTATTATCCCTCCCGCTCCACGATACCAGCTAAAAAGGGCCTGGAGTCTGGCTGCTTCTCTAGCCTCCCTCACACAGCACATGTGTGTACAAGCCCACATAAGTGTACATGCTCACAGACACCTTCCTCATTAGCTGATTTCTGTAGTTTGTAGGTACTGGGCATTGGTGACGCACACCTTTAATCCCAGCACTCAGGAGGCAGAGGCAGGTGGATCTCTGTGAGTTCAAGCCCAGCCTGGTCCACACAGTGAGTTCCAGGACAACCTCCAAAGCAATACAGAGAAATCCTGTCTCGAAACACCCCCCCAAAAAACTCAAAACAAAACAAACAAACAAACACACACACACACAAACAAAAAACGGGCTCCAGGTTCTTGTCCTTGGCTAGAAATCAGGCTTGTTCAAGCCAGCTTTTCTGTTTAATCTCTAGCTAAGACAATGACTACAGATCAGCCTGCCCGAGTGTCTTTCAGCAAGGAAGGGCTTTGGGCCAGGCAGTTTGTCCATGCCTCTAACTTCACATCAGAGCCTGGGACTGGGAAGCAGGCTGGGACTTTGACCCAGCTCTCACTAGGGCACCCTCTGCTAAGACTGTCCTTTAGAACCCCAGACACTCACCCGCTTCCTTGGTCCGGATTCGGCTGGATGGCCCGCTGGGCTCCCCAGTGCCCAAGATGTTGCTGGCTGAAACCCGAAACTCATAGTCCATCCAAGGCATGAGACCCAGCACCTGGGCAGTCTCGGCATTGCCCTCAATGTTCACAGGATCTGCAAGGCCCCAGGGGTCAGTGACTAGCGCCTGTTTATTGCCAGGATGAGGGCAGATTCAAGGCTTGTGTGGCCTTCGTATTCTGCCCTCATCGTGGTACTGCCAAACGTTAAGCCTTCAGTTACTCTTGACTGAAAAGCTGCTGAGCCTCAAGGCCTTTGCCAATGCTGTGTACCCCTCACTCCACACATGGCCAGCATGCTGGCAATCTCCAGCAGCAAGGCTTCAAACGCACAGGCCAAGTGCCTCCTCCAGTCCTCTCCTTACCTTCCTGCTGGCTACAACTGCTTCCCTGCCTGCCTAGGTGCTCCCTGGAGATAGAGAACAAAACTTAATTCTCCTTGAAGCCCTGTGCTCAGTCCTTGACCCTCTGATCCCTGCCTCTTGCTGTGCACACAGTGGGGGATTTATCAGTACTGATCCAGGTGAGGCCTCACACTTACTGGTCCGAACCTGCTTCCACTTCCCGGCAGGTGGAGTGCGAGCTTGCAGTGTGTACTTGGCGATGGGGCTGTGATTGTCAAAGCCACGACTCCAGCTAACCTGGACAGTGGTGTCTCCAATGTCTCTCACAACCACACCTCCCGGGGGGCCTGGGGGACCTGTACCAAGAAGCAGAGTACACTGGGTCAGAAGTAGACAGCTCCCAATTTGAGCCGGTTTTCTTCAGACCCAGCTTGAGGGGCTCAATATCTAGATGGGGCATCAGAGGGCGGGAAAGATTGGGTGGGAAGCCAGAGGGCAGGGACAGAGGAGCATGGCGGGGAGTGATGTGTCTCAGACTTGCGGGCTCACAGAGGCTGTCCATAAGGGGATGTGTAGATTTCCCAGGACCGAATTTGGAACTGTTGGGCTCAGCAGTCTTGGGGCATTTAGGGGACATTTTCTTTCTTGAGTACTGCTTCAGAAGAAACATTCTACTCATTTAGGACCCAGGAAGAACCACAGAGGAACGAAATAGAGGTGTCCATCTCTGTGACTTCTTTCTGCTTTCAGGGAGGGAAGGGAGGTGGGGAGAGTCAAGCAGCCTCTCAAGGAGCTGGGGTAGCCGACTCCCATCACCTCGGACCAGGACTGTGGCCTCCTTGGATGCACCATCCACCACTGTCTGGGCCATGCACATGTACTTCCCTCCATGGCGTAGCTGGGCATTCAGGATAGTCAGGTCCCCAATAGTTTCCTTCTGTGCACAGGGAACAGCAAGGTGTAATGAGTCAGGAGGAGGCCCTGACTAGTATAAACAGAACCTGGATTCTCTGGCTGCATGGCATCTATGCTCTCTGTGTTCCTGTCTGTTCAATGGGGAAAAATCACTACTTGGTATCATTGAACAACAAAGTATGACATGTAAGACAGTCTGCACGGGACAAGTTAATGATGGCATTTGTATTGGGGAAGAGAGACAGCAGCAGAGAGACCCTCCTTTGGCACTTAGAATGCTAACGCTTGATTCTAACCTAGAAGAACAGAAAAGGTAGCTGTCAGTCCTAGGATGGGCTTGCTGGACACTGCCTCAGGGGTTAGGGAGAACTTTGGAGGGCTTGAAGATGGTGATGGCTGAGGATATCTCAGGTCCCCTGACTTATCTGGAAGAAGGGGGAGTTACAAAACCTCCGGCCTTACCACACTGGCTCTCCGGTAATGACCTCCAGGCTTATCGAAGTCGATGGGAAAATCATCCAGGGTCCAGGTGAAGGTGAGATCCATAGTGGGGTCGTGGGAGGCGTGGCACTGTAGCGTCAGGTTGTCACCCACGTTGATGTCAGCACTTGAAGGAGCTAGAGTGATCTTGGTTGCATCTACAAAGCAAAATAACAACAAAAACAAGGCTCTTTGATGTAAAGATGGAAAAGTCCTAGGCAGGGGAGAGACTCTGTCCTGTACCCCAAGAAGAAAATGCATGAACAGCCAGATTCTGGAGGCTGGCCAGGGCTGAGAAAGTGAGTTCTGAGGTGGCCTTGGAAGCAGAAGTATATGAGGGCCAGTAGCAGACAGCTGGCAGAACAGCACCCTGGCAGCTGACCACAGGTCTGAACAGACCACAGTCCTTACCGCGCACAGACAGGATCCCGGTACTGTTAGCTTTGCCCATGAAATTCTCAGCAAAGCAGGTGTATTTTCCTTCATCTGATCGACTGATGTTTCTGATGATCAAGGTGCCATCTGAAGTCACTGTCACTCTGCAGCAAGGACACAAAAGGGATAGATTCACTGTGGCCATGGAAAGGGGACTGGCCGTCTTGGTTGTGGCACACAGACGCTACCTGGTACTGTTCCCCAAGATCTCAGTTCCCTTGCTCCAAAGTATTGTAGCCTTCGGGGCTGCACGAGGCTGGCAGGGGATGCTGATCTCTCCCCCGCGGGCTGCGGGGATCAGCCTTCTCACAGGGTTCTGCCTGAAGTCGGGGGCCAGGGCTGCAGGAAGGAGAGGAGTTACTGACACACTCACCCTGTGATACCCACAGCTCCCCTCCCCCATGAAGATGTCATCTGGCCATGGGCTAAGCACTGTAAGCACCGCTGGAGGCCCAGCCTCCCAAACGGCAGCATCGTCTCTAGAACTCGAGCCCACCCCTGCCCCAACACACCATATCTCGCTCCCCTCCCTCCCTCACAATGCTCCACCCATCTCTCTTGCTTTCAGTTTTTTTCCCTTTAAAGATTTATTTATTTATTTTTATTGTGTATGGCTGTTGGGCTGCATGGGTGTCTGTGCAACACCTTCATGCAGCGCCTGAGGAGGCCAGAAGAGGGTATCAGATTCTCCGGAACATGAATCTGATGGTTGTGAGCCACCATGTGGGTACCAGGAATGGAGCCAGGGTCTTCTGCAAGAGCAGCCAGTGTCCGGTGAGGCATCTTTCCAATCCCCCACCACCCACCCTTTGCTTTCCTTTTTAACCCTGTGAAATCACCAAGCCTTTCTAGCTTCAGAATCTTCGTGCTTGCATATTACCTGGTGGTTCCTCAGATCTTTACAAGGCTGGCTCCTTCAGGTCACATCCAAGTGTGACTTCCTCAGAGAGTCTTCCCTGAGCATCCCATCTAACTGGCTCACCTCAGTACCACTGCGCTGCTGGATTTTCTTATACTACATTTTTAGAGTTACACGAAATGACTTTTGTGTTTGTTTATTCCTCTTCCTCTATTGGATTGTACAGTACTTTAAGGCAGAGAGGTGATCTTTTTGGTTCATTTCTCAGGAGATGTTGAATAAGTATTGGTTGGATAAATGAATGAAAGAAAGAATGAGTTGTGGGGCTAGAGAGATGGCTAAGTGGTGAAGAGTGCAGCAGATTGCTCTCACAGAGGACCTGAGTTCAATTCCCAGTGCCCACATAGTGGCTCACAACCATCTATAACTCCAGTTCCAGGAAAAGCAACAGTTTCTTCTGACTTCTATGGGTATGTGATACAAATACAATAAAAAAATAGTGAGTCATTGTTGAACCTATTAAACTTAATAAAGGATCTTCATGTCTATCTTACAGCAGAAAAAAAAACATGAATGCTACAATTAAAGGCATGTGCCGCCACCACCCAGCATGAAGCATTTCTTAAATCAAGAAACTGAAGCATAGAATCAGGTGACTTGCCCCAGGCCACAGAGCTGAAGGAGCTAGCTAGGTTAAATAAAGACCACTATTCACTGCAGGGAAAATGCTTTGTCTAGTCACATCCTCGGAGAACTCTCCTTCTAGAGTCTTGAAACTGGTGCTATTCAGGGACCATTGAAAACCCAAAGAAAACTGTGTGTGTGTGTGTGTGTGTGTGTGCCTGTGCGTGCATGCGTGCAGGTGTATACATGAAAAGCTCTGACCCACCCAGCCGCAACCTGCATGTTCCAGGCCCTCCCCTGGGAATGGTCAGAGTATAGCAGGTGACTCTGGGCAGATGCAGCCCATTCTGTCTCCCTTCCTGGTTCTCTTCTCACAATCTTCCCTGTTCGGGCTCTGACACACATGCACTTTCACTGAGGGTCACAGACAGACTATTATCCCTCCCGCTCCACGATACCAGCTAAAAAGGGCCTGGAGTCTGGCTGCTTCTCTAGCCTCCCTCACACAGCACATGTGTGTACAAGCCCACATAGGTGTACATGCTCACAGACACCTTCCTCATTAGCTGATTTCTGGGATTTGTATACATTTAAAAAACGGCTCAAGGTTCTTGTCATAGGTTCGAGATCAGGCTCCCCAGTGTGACTTTCTTCCCTTGTTCAAACCAGCTTTTCTGTTTAAACTCTAGAGGAGATGATGAATGCAGATCAGCCTGCCCGAGTATCTTTCAGCAAGGGCTTTGGGTCAGGCAGTTTGTCCATGTCTCTAACTTCACATCAGAGCCTGGTACTGGGAAGCAGACTGGGACTTTGTCCCAGCTCTCACCAGGGCACCCTCTGCTGAGAATGTCCTTTAGAACCCCAGACACTCACCAGCTTCCTTGGTCCCCGCCTCCTAGGCCCTTTACCTTGCACAGCCAGCTCGGCGCTGGCATAGATGGTGCCATGCTTATTTTCTGCCACACACTGGTACATGCCGGAGTCCTCCAGGCTCAGCTTAGAGAATCGCAGGTCCCCAGCGAAGACCTCTACCCGGTTCTGTGCAGAAAAGCCGGGAGGTCAGGACTGTTGGAGGACAGGAGGGGGCGGGAAGAGGTGGGGGTGCAGAAGCTCTAGGCCAATATCACCATGGGAGGGTTCATGAGTGCAGGCCTACTTCAGGGCTGCTTGGGATCTTGGGCCTCCTGGAGGCCAGACTTAGGATTGCATGCCCATTTGGTGGGATCCCAGAACTCTGTGATGCTGCACCACTGACCCACCTGTGACCATATGTATGACTCTGCCATGGGAGGAAGCAATAGAACATCCCAAGACCTCCTAGTTTGCCCAGCAGGGTAAGAAGACCAGGCAAGAAGAAAAGGGTGGCCGTGTCAGAGAGAGCCCTGGTTTCCTACCTGGGAGGCCAGAGGCTCCCCGTTTCTCAGCCAGCGCACCATGGGCCGAGGTTTGCCTGCCGCTGCACAAGCCCAACGCAGGTTGGAACCAATGTCCGCTTCTGTGTCTGAGATCACCTTGAGCCACTCGGGCTGAGCTGCGGGCAAGAGAGAAAAAAGTCTGAACTGACTGGGAGGAGCCCTAGGCTCATTCAATAGGGAATCATAAGGTTGCAGTATCAGTAAGCGACAGTAGAGGGCGCTGTTGGTATTCTGGGATGGAGAGACAAAGAAGTGGGGGCCGAAGAAAACTGGCACTCTATGGTTGTGCCAGTGACGCTTTAGCAACTAAATCACTTGAAAGATGTTTGGTTTTTGTGTGCCCCTGCTGAGCTCTGAGATGGCCTCTCCAAGTATGCTTGGTAGACCTGGCAAGGGGATTTTCATGCTGTTTCCTCAAGGAGAAGGGAGGTGTCCGCAGCTCCGTACCCTGCACAATGATTCGTCCCTGGACGGTGTCACGGCCCTTAGAATTCTCTGCCTCACATTCATAGGTGCCCTCATCTTCAAAGCTCACGCTGGGGATCTGCAGGGTGGGCTCTGCTGTGGCCCACTGAGGGGACAAAGAGCCATCCACTTTGCGCCACTTGATCCTGGGAACAGGGCTAACGGGAGAAAGAGCCAGAGGGGGTGAGCTGAGTTGGGCAAGCTCCTCATGTGTCCACAGAGCCTATGCTCACACTCACAGGCCCTCCTGAAGTACTGGGCAAGGTGAAGGGGACTCTTGTTTGCGGGGAGGACAGAGGGAAAGAGGGCACAAATGAGAGTAGGAACATATGCATGGAAGAGACAAGAAGTCTCTCCTATCCTAGGCCCCAAGCACAGCTGTGAGCAGTGCAGCTGGTTTTCCACGTGGCCTGAACTCTGAAGCCTGCTTGCCCTCTCCCCACAGCGGTCAGCAGTGGCCTATGACCAGGGTCTTTGCAGGTCCCCTTTCATATCACCCCACGTTCCCAAGGCACTTCAGTTATCAGTAGTTTGCATAATAAAATGGGCTAGGGAACCACTGACTCTAGGGGGGAGGTCAACACATTACCCTGCCAAATGCTCCTTACACATGTTTTCTGGAGACCCAATAAGTTCCCACACAGCAGTGGCCAAGGGACCCTGCTCTGATGAACTCTCCTGGGAGAGCAAGAAGGAGGCTTTGTGCTGTAATTTTTTTTTTTTTTTGGTTTTTCGAGACAGGGTTTCTCTGTAGCTTTGGAGGCTGTCCTGGAACTCACTCTGTAGACCAGGCTGGCCTCGAACTCACAGAGATCCGCCTGCCTCTGCCTCCCGAGTGCTGGGATTAAAGGCGTGCGCCACTAACGCCCGGCTCTGCTGTAATTTTTAAAGGATCAATGGAACCAACATTCATGCAGTACTTGGTAAATGCCAAGCATCATTCTCAGGGCCTGGTACCCATTAACTCATCTAATCTCTGTAACAATCTTACAGGGCAGGCACTGTTACCATGACCAGCTACCGGTCAGGGAGCCCAGCCAGAGGTCTCCGAGCCAGCAAGTGGTGAAGCTGGGCTTTGAACCAGCAGGATGAGGTCTGCACACTGTGCTTCCTGCCTCTAGCCCTAGGTGCTCCTCAAGCTGCCTAGGACTACATTGACTGTTGGGAGGACCATGTGATTCACTCATGCCCTCAAACGCAATGTCCTCCTGGAAGAACTGGTTTCATTTGGTGGTGGGATCCCTCCCGCTCCTGGGGGGCTTTAAAATGAAACTGCCCAGTCCCAGTGCACTCTTGTCCCTCCCGTGATACTCACTTCCCAAAGGCAAAGCACTCCAGGGTGACCTGCTGCCCAACCAGTGCATAGGTCTCTGGGGGGAACCTGGCTTTGATGCTGGGAGCAAAGAGCCGGGGATCTGGGGAGAGAGATGTGTAAATCACACACAAAGGACTCCAGGGAGGTGCTCTGTGTTTAGGGGCCGTGCCTTCCAGAGTCCACAAATCTCCAAACACTCCCTTTCTCCTGGGGGCCTGGGCAAGGTGCTCCAGGAAGACTAGCTGCCCAGCCAGTGCTCCACCAGGTCTCTGGCAACAGAGCCTCATTCCAACACGAATGTTTGGAGTCTTTAAACAGTCCCTTTCTCCTGGGGGCCTGGGCAAGGTGCTCCAGGAAGACTAGCTGCCCAACCAGTGCTCCACCAGGTCTCTGGCAACAGAGCCTCGTTCCCTGTGAGCTGTTCTTCTTGGGGTCGGGGTGGGGGGGCACCCAAAGCCCGTTGACTCTTTAACCACCACCCCTAGCCCCAGGATCCTGACCTTCAGCAGCCAGGTTGAGCTGCGCAAACTTGCTGAAGACACTCTTGGTGGAGAAGTCCATGTGGCTGGTGGCCAGACAAGAGTAGTTGCCCAGGTCTGAGGCATTGGTCCGGGCGATGTATAGGTTTCCTGTGGTCTGGGACACAAAGTGACGCCCATCCGTTGGGATGAAGTTGGGGAACTCATTGAGGAGCCAGCGATAGGACAAACCTAGAAAGGAAGGGAGACTGAGGAGATTAGAGAGAGCTGGGCTCACAGGCAATCTGGGCAGGACCCTAACATGCTGTCTGTTCTGCCTTCTCAGGAGGACTTGCAGCAGTAAACAGGGGCTGAGGGGACACGTAGGGGGAAGAGATAGCTTCAGCTCTGTCCTCAGGATGCTAGGACACACTCTCAAGTCCAGCTAGGAAATAGCAGGACCATTTAAAGTTGGGACTTACCACCTCCTGTCCTGTATTTCCTCTCCCCAGTATCCGGAAGTCCTCTCCAGTGCACCACCCCTCAAGTCTTGTTGTGGTCCAGGATCCCCACTTACCCGGGTAGTGGGCAGGTGGGTTACAGGGTAGCATCACCCCCCAGCCCTCGTGGGTTTTCACAGGGTCTCTCTCTTCCTTGGAGAATTCCTGCAGAACTGGAGATGGAGAACAGGGCTCAGGCACCGTCTTCAAGCCTGGGGCTCCCCAGTCCCTTCTCCATGGGGAAGAAGCAGCTTCTAGCACGCCATTTGTGGCTGCCGCCTGTCCTTCCTGGGCACCTTTCCCTGGCCCTGTCAACCCACACCCAACCTCTTGGCTCCCATGGATCTCACAGCCGAAGCGGAGGACAGCCTCCTTGCTGACGACAGTGCCCACTGGGTTTGAAGCTAGGCACTGGTAGACACCGGCATCCTGTGCCTTGGTGGGGCTCATGATGACCAGGTTGCCTCCCATCAGCTGGTGACGCGAACCGGGTTCCAGGTTCATATCAGTGCCATTCATCTTCCACCTGCAGCCGGGATAAGTGACAGCGGGGACGGGACCTCAGTCTCATGTGAGGAGAACCCATATGGCTGCCTGGGTCTCCCCCCCCACCCCGGGATCCATGGCTGGGACCTCACCTATATGTGGCTGGAGGACTAGCTCGGGCACGGCATGCCAGCGTCACCTGATCCTCTGTGGATTCCTCTGGGAATAGCAGGCCTACAGGCTGGTCTTCAAAGACAGGCCCAAAGGTGGCTGGGGTTCCCTGGACAAAACTCCATCCTGCAAATAGGGGGTACCACCAGAGATTCAAAGTCTGAGACAGTCAAAGTCCAATGATAACGGCACACTGTCCAGTAGAATTTAATGGGGATGCCTAATTTTCTGCACTGTCCAGTAGGTGGTCATTTGTGGCTACTGGGGATTTGGAATGTGGCTTAGGAACCAAATTTAAATTCAACTTTAATTAATTTAAATAGGCTGTGCAAGTCCCATCAGGTCATGTTTGCACTGTCAGTCACCTACCTACAGTCTCATTATTAAACATGTGCTGTATACCTAGCCCTGGGCCGTCTAAGGGGATCAGACACACAGTCCCTTTCCTTGAAGGGCTTTGCAGTACAAGAAGGGAAACAGAGCTGACAGTGCAGAGCGCCATGCCACAGAGTACTTTAGGGACAAAATACTGTGAGACTCGGGCAACCTCACGCAGGTGTGGCACATGAGGAGTCACCAGCAGGAAACACAGGAAAGGGTTGTGTTCCTGGAGCCCAGTGCTCTTCTAGGGCAGTGCAGTCCAGTGAAAAGTGCTCATTTGGGGGCTGGGCTGGGCCTCCTTGGGCAAATTATACTCCCTCCCCTATGTATTGATCTGGTGTCTTCCCATGAAAAGAATAGGAATTAATTCACTTTCCAGGTCCACGGCAGGGTCTAACCAGGAGGAAAATTAGGGAGGGCCGGGCACAGGGAGCAAGCTCCACAACCGGCTGTGAGATCCAACTGGGGACAAGGGGTGGGGGGAGATGGAAGCCTGGATGGAAGCGTGGCAGCAGGTCAACTGGTGGCGATTTTATAAACCATGTCACATCTCAGGAAAGAAAGGCCCGGTGGTCTCATGGCCAGTCAGGCAGGTGATGCCGCTTCCCAAATTGGTTTCGCGTTTGCCGTTCCCGGTCCTGAGAGTCTCAGCCACCGCCTCGATCTGCATACACCACTGTCCCCTCTCACCAGAACAGGGTCAGCAGGAGGGGGCTGGACAGGACTTCACACCTGCACCAGCACAGTGGGGGGCGCTGCCGCTGTGGGAGCAGGTGGGAGCCAGGCCCCTTAATTGGCTCTTATCTCTCATGCAGCTGATTTCAGACCTTCCTTGTCGGTGGGGGGATGGGAGGAGGGAACTCCATTAACCAATTAGTGCCTTCTTTCTGGGCACATCCAGCTGCCAGCCCTCTTCCAGGCCTGGTCCCTCTGCTGCAGCTGAGGCCCAGCTCTGGCCTCTTGGGAATGGGGGCATCTGTTAAGCAGCCCTCTGAATGAGGAATGAGGTAGGAGGCAGGACTTCCAGAATGGTCTGCGGAAGACTTCCCTTGAGTCCTGTTCATGTTGCCCACCCCCACCCCACAGCAATTGCTTGTCACTCTCCTTTGCTGCTGCCTGAGGCCTCGGAGGTGGTGTGTGACAGCAACTGCATCATCTCCCCCTGGAAAGCCCAGCTTAATCCAGAGTTAATGATGATGGTAGAGGGGAGGGACCCTGTCCCAGCTGGGACCACCTGGAGATGGGGGAGGACTGAAGGGAGAAGAAGGAAGGATGCTGGGAATCACCTTATACAATAGCAGCTTCCAGGAACTCAGTCTGGGTGGTGGGGGCGGCAGAGTGGGGCCTGGGCACCCTGGTACCCTGAGATTCTCTTTCTTCTTGAAAAAGCTTTCCCCTCCACACTCACCCACTATCCCCCGGTACACACCTCCGTGTCTCACCTGCACATGTTCTAACACCGGTTCTCATAACACACATAGGTTCACATACAGATGACTCTCTAGGCCAATCAATGACCAGATGCACATTTACACACACTTCTATCCCAAGCAGAAACAGCTGCTAATAGCCCTGCTTGCTCATTCCTTATGTGTGTTATGTATTCATGAGTAGCTCTATACACCGCAATAATCAAGTTACAGTAAGAATAGTGCTGTTGATCCAACTGCTTACTGTTGCCCGATATGATACTCCAAATTCTTTCTCAGAGTACCCTTAAGATTCAGACCAAGCCGGGCATTGGTGGCGCACGCCTTTAATCCCAGCACTTGGGAGGCAGAGGCAGGCGGATCTCTGCGAGTTCCAGACCAGACCAATAAGGACTGAGACTTAGAAAGGTTTAATAACTTGCCCCACCTCAAAGCAAAGGAGGATATCTGCCCTCATCCAGCCTCATCATGCAGCCAGCATTTTAAACCACAGTGGCCATGATTTCTGACTTCAGGTTTTGGAATCATCTGAGACCCTGATTCCACCCTAGAGGGTTGAAATCTCAAGTTCTAGAAATGACACCCACAAATCTGGAGAATGAAAAACTGCTGTTGAAAGGGGCTGGGGTTGAGGGCATCAAGGTACAGGCTCTGCCTCCTTCACACTGGCACCCCACAGCATCTGGTCCACAGGCCAGCTCACCTGGCCCACACTTCCCTCCACAGCTACAGACATACCTGACATCCCACAGGTGAGCACACACAGACACAAACCCCTGGGCAAAGGCTTTTCCTGTCCCACATGCCCTCATTCTTTGACCCCAGTTACTGTTTTCCCCAGAAAAGACATAAGAAGCATTGCAGTGGAAGGAAGGGGTCAGAGAGATGCTCTGTGAAATAAGACACAGCGCCTCTCCTTGCCCCGGGTTGTGAATGGTCCAGAGCTCTATCCTAGGATCAGGTGAGCAAGCCAAGAGCAGAGAAGCACTTTCCAGGTCTCAGTATGGAGTAGGTCTAAGATCAGGCCACACGTGGGAGATGGCAGCCCAGGTCCTGACCCTTTGTCAGTTGCCTTCTGACCCATTTAGATCAGGATACCCTGAACGGTGCTCACACCCCTTGCTTCCAAGTGAGGGGATACAGAGGGTCTTCTCTGGCCTCTCTCAGTGGGAATTTTGCTCTGTGCAGTTCCCCCAGTCTGGAGGACCCTGGGGCAGATAGCTAGGCCTGGAATCTTGGAGTTAGCCCAACTTCTTAGCACCCGCAACAAGTTAAGTGGATCTGGTGAGAGCTTCTGAGCCTGAAGATCTGGAGGGCACGGCTGTGTCTGGAAGAGCAGTGGGGGGTGGGGAGAAGTAGGGTCTAAACTCTAGACTGCGGGATGGCTGCTCCTTCTCCCATGGGTCTCTTTGGGGAAAAAGAAATTCCTGTTGACTTGAGTTTGGAGCTCAGGTCCAGCCAAACAGTAGCCAGCTGGCCCCCCTGGAGACACTCCAGCTCTTCTCGCTCCCTTCTCTGCCCTCTGCTTCCCATCTTTGATCTGAGCATGGAGAATAACACAGAAATGGGATCCTCTGTAGGCAACCCTGCTCTGCCTCATCTGGTCCCTTTCTGCCCCTCCCATCCAGGTTGCCCTTTGGGTCCAGGGCCCTGGGGCATTATTCAGGAAAATTTTCTGGATATGATGGAGGTGTCCCGTGGCCTGGAGTTTCCAAGGTGGCCACTGAGCACTTGGCACATGGCAAGCACAGCTGAGGACATCATTTTCATTTGAATCACATGTTACTTGGCGATGCTTCCCACACTGTGCAGTATGGTTCTAGAGGTCACAGCTCCGATGGTTAGCACTGAGATCTGGCTGTGCCATATTGCGCTGTCTGACATGAGATAAACCACTCAGCTTCTCTGGGTCATTTTTTTCTTCAGGTCATTTTTTTCTTCATCTTCAACATAATAAAGATCCATTTCCTTTCCTCCAAGCTTCAGAGGTAAGGTAAGATTCACAAACTGGAAGTATTTAGCAAGGAAATGGCCTCAACAATGCAGAGGAATTAGCACCTAAGTGGTAGTAATGACTTAACCATACAATCAGGCACTCTTACCTGGAGAGGAGACCAGGGCCACTGTGGCTAGCACCAGCAGCAGCAAGCACGGCCTTTTCCTGCCCGGTGTCCTCATGACGGTTGTTTCAGGCAGAGGCAGAGTTGAGAGGACAGGAAACACAGCTGGCTTCCAGGAGAAACAACTGGAGACTTGAGAGACACCTAAGGGGACAGAGGATGAAGGATCTGAGTCTCAGCACCCCATCCAGCTGCAAACACACCTGGTGAGCCTCAGCGCCCTGCCCAGCTGCAAGCACACCTGGTGAGCCACAGTGCCCTGCCCAGCTGCAAACACACCTGGTGAGCCACAGTGCCCTGCCCAGCTGCAAACACACCTGGTGAGCCTCAGCGCCCTGCCCAGCTGCAAACACACCTGGTGAGCCTCAGCGCCCTGCCCAGCTATAAACACACCTGGTGAGCCACAGTGCCCTGCCCAGCTGCAAACACATCTGGTGAGCCTCAGCGCCCCATCCAGCTGCAAACACACCTGGTGAGCCTCAGCACCCTGCCCAGCTGCAAACACACCTGATGAGCCTCAGCACCCTGCCCAGCTGCAAACACACCTGGTGAGCCTCAGGGCCCCATCTAGCTGTAAACACACCTGGTGAGTCACAGTGCCCCATCCAGCTGCAAACACACCTGGTGAGTCACAGTGCCCCATCCAGCTGCAAACACACCTGGTGAGCCTCAGCACCCTGCCCAGCTGCAAACACACCTGGTGAGCCTCAGCGCCCCATCCAGCTGTAAACACACCTGGTGAGTCACAGTGCCCCATCCAGCTGCAAACACACCTGGTGAGCCTCAGCGCCCCATCCAGCTGTAAACACACCTGGTGAGTCACAGTGCCCTGCCCAGCTGCAAACACACCTGGTGAGCCTCAGCGCCCTGCCCACCTGTAAACACACCTGGTGAGTGACTTGGTTTCCTGACAGTGCTGTGGGGGCACAGGCTGGCGCTCATCTTCCTCAGGTCCCAGAGGAGGGGCTTGGCTATTACCAATGAACTCTTCCAGGGCTCAGTGCCTCCTGCTGTCAGTCCCCGCCCCACACACACCTCCCCTGGGAGTCTGGCTCTACACGGTACCCCTCCCTCCATCCAGCAGGTGCTGAACAGGAAGTGGAAAGGGAACTAATTGGGAGGCAGGAACCCACCTGCCTGCTTGCCTGCAATTGTGATCCCTCTGTGTCAGAAGGCACCTGAGGGAGCGGGGCCTGTCCCTGGGTGGGGAGCCAAGGACATCTCCTCTGGTACTTGGTGACCAGGGCAACTCTCTCTCTCTGCTCTTTTCCCACAGCTTCCTGAGTGGGGGTCACCAAGCCCCTCTGGAGTTGCACAGTCTCTGAACCAGGACTGATTTTCTCTCAAAGTAAGGGAAGCTTCATGACTCAGCTCTGTCCCAGGCTGCGGTGCCCAGACACAGCACCTGGGTGCTTTGCACGGAGTCATGACCTTGGCCCTATCGGCCCCACTCCCACCACATCGGCCAACAGCCCAACTTCTGTCTTACACTGGAATGGCAGAGACTTGGTAGAATCAGCCTGGGTAGGTCACAGAGATCAGGACAATGGCTGAGGAGGTGAGGACCTCATTTGGAGAAGCAAGGGCAGGGATGGGGGTCACCTTTCCATCTATTCCTCCTCGGGAAGAATTCCTGACTTCTGAGGAAACAGGGGCTCCCAGGAGCCATCTTCTAGATGTTGGCGTTAGTCTGGTCACCACAGCCCATTCCTCCCTCTCAGAGCTGCCGCAGGACCAGGACACCAGGCTGCAGATTCTTCCAGCCTGCCCCCCCCCGCCTGCAGAAGGCCTGGGCAAGGCTTCCCCCACTAACTGGCTGTGGAGCCCTGCCATCCACATCTGTGTCCTCTGTCCTCTTTCAGGTCCTTCCCCTCAGGCTCTCTGACGCTTGCTGAGAGAGCAGTCAGGACCCCTGGCCTGTATGCCAAGAGGGAAGACTGTGTAGATGAAGGAGGGCTCAGGATATGCCACACCTCACTCCCACAGCACTCATAGAAAAAGTCCCCCCCCCAAACCTGGGCTCTCACCACCTTTTCCGATTCTAGCAGCCAAAAGTCAAGAGGAAGCCTGCCCTGGGCCTGCCAGGGTGTGTGGCAGGTATGCCCAGCAGACTCAGGAAGCAGGGGTTGGGGGTCAGGAGCAGAAGCCCTCCCTCCGCATGGGACCCCAGCCTCACAGTCTCTGCTTCTTGTCAGACCCCCAACTGCCCTCCCCCATTCTTGCAGCTCTTAGTTCTGTACCAGGGGGTAGACATTTGGCGTCTCTCAATCCCATTGTCCAGACCTCAGCTGCCTGGAAACACACAAGATGTACCAGTCTGAACCCTGAAATTCAGCCCTTTTGGTCATCAACGGCTCCTGCCTGTGGAACTGTCTCCAGTGGAAGACTGTCACTCACCCAAGGGGAGGCTTGAACCCTGGCCATCTCTAGAGCTCTTTGCCCAGCAAAGTGTCCAGCATGTAATATGTGTTGCTTGTGTGTCGCATTCAACTAATCAAGAACCACCGTGGTCAAATGCCTCCATGACAAGCAAGCATACACAGGCACTCACAGGGAACTCGATTTACACCAGGCTGCGGGGTCTTTGGTTATTTGTGGGGCAGCCCAGAGCAAATGGTACATATGCCCACACTCACACAGACAGACAAACAGACAGACAGACACACACACACACACACACACACACACACACATACACACACACACACACACACACACACACACAAAACCACACAGCGAGGTCTCCAGGTCAGCAGGCCATCCAGTAACAGGGAATCTCACAAATATCCCTCTGGGTGCCACACAGGTGTGGGACATTATCCCCAACACAGGGTGGTCCTGGCTCAGTTTGCAGTCCACCCACTCACCCAACGACTGGGAAACTGACAGACAGGACTTGGTAATACTGACCTCATCTCTTTTTTTCCTGTAAAATTGATTTTATTTTTAATTATATTTAAGTGTAAGTGTAAGTGCCCACAGATGCCGGAAGAGGGTGTCAAACCCCCTGGAGCTGGATGCCAGGAACCTAGCTCACGCCCTCTGAGTCGTCTCTCTAGCCCCCTGACTTCATCCGTTTACAGCTCTATGGGCTTAGACAAGTTATTCCCCCTGATGTGAGTTATTCCCCTCAATTTGCCCATCAGCAAAATTGGCGATTATAGGAGCATTAGAGTGGTTCTGTGGCTACATTTGGTGTCACCTGTACTGATTATCAAGTACTGTAAAGCCCAGAGCCATTTGGACCCCTATCAGTCTACTGTGGGAGAGGGAGAGGGTGGCTCTAGATGTCCCCGTTCTCCTGCCTCTGTCTCCTCTGGCACACACTCCCTACCCTTGACTTTCCCAGGATTCTTCCTTGTTGAAGGACTTGGAAAATCATCCCTATGGAGAATCGTGAACCCATACCTGGCATGGAGACACCGCTCATCACTTACTCCTCCTGCTCTTTGTCAGCCGTTCAGGGAGGCAGGAGGAGGCTGGTATACAGCTGCTTATCTGAATACACCAGAGCAAGGCAGAGATGAAGTCACAGTGGTCACCTCCATCATGTAGTGGTCGAGATTCTGTGTTGTCTTTCTGGTGACGACTATAGATTACGGATAATTCAATCTCAATGCACGCCTTAAACTTTAGTTTAATCCAGGCTTTTTTATCAGCCACCACTCTGGCCTAAATGTCCTGGGCACTCTCCAGGGACCAAGACCTACAGTCTTGAGAGGAGATGTGTGTGGGATCAGGAGGATGTGGGGTTTCCTCTGGGACTTACTGCAACCAGTCAGTGATCAGATATATAGTGAGCCCCACTGCTCTGAATAAACTAGCAAGAGATCACATACAAGTTTGGAGTAAAGGTTGGAGCTTATAGCCTCCCTGAGGATGAGGCAGCCAGCATCCACCATGCCTTACATTCATTTCCATTATCGTGTGTGTGTGTGTGTGTGTGTGTGTGTGTGTGTGTGTGTGCATGTATACCTGTACTCGAGCACTCATGTCATGTAGTGAGAGGCAAGGCCTTCTCTATGCCTTGAACCCATAAGCCTCCTGTACCAGCAGGGATCCCAGGAATGTGCTACCACGTCCAACCCCATTACAGTGTTCAGTGGCCACATGCCAGATATTGTGCTGAGCACAGGGGAGGTAGTAACTGAGACACTCCCCTTATGGCACTCCCTGGCCAGCTGAGAGCAGCCATGAAATGTGCTTCCAAGTTCAGGGATCAGTTATCTCCCCACATCCACATGATGTGTTCTAGAAGGCCCAGGATGGAGAAGACCTTTTTGTCAGAGTGAGGCTGGAATGGAGTTATGCCAGGCCCAGATTGGCCCTGCCAGCTCTGAGCCAGCCAAGCCTTGCCCAGGCCAGCTGCCCTGGTGCAGGGGTGCAGGCACAGGCTGTCACAGTCGGGCACAGGCTGCCACCATCAAGGGGCTGGTTCTGTGAGGTACATGAGGGAGTAGGTCATTGAGGTTCAGAGACACTAGAAGTTTCTAGAAACAAAGGGTGAGGGGAAGGACAGCTTGGGGACTGCAGACTATAAGCACTGGACAGGATTTCTTGACTAAGGATCTCCATGTGGAGCCAGTGAAAAATTAAAAAAAAAGTACATAGCCCAGCAGAATTTTACTGCTTCCTGAGATACTCAGCTCCTGCCCCACCTCTACTCTTCCCCAGTCAAGGAGATCAGAGAATTAAAGGGCGTGGTAGTAGTGCATGGAGTGTGGAGGGAAGGGAGGGTTTGGAGTACAGCAGAAAACAGAGAGAACTAAGGTCAGCCTTTAAGGTATTGCAGGAGCCTCTTGTATGCTCACCTGGCCTCTGCCCTGTAGCATGTTATGGAGTCATCGAGCAGGTTGTTGAGCCAATGAGACCTAGCATCCCTACCTCCTATAACCTGAGTTACTTGCACCTCAGTTTCTCATCTATAAAGTAGGGGCAAGAAGGGTCGCTTCAAGGGATGATTGTGAGGTCAGAGCCATACGTGGGCCACTGCTAATGCTTAGGAAAGATTGGATCCTACAACCAAGCTCCCCCATCCCTCAGGATAGCTACACACACTGCACCTGTGTGAGTCGGGCTTGCTGACATAGTCTAGTGCGAATGGCAAAGACACCTACCACCTCTTGACAGAGCCTTTTGCTCACATTTCAAAGGCGTGATGTAAAGAGGCAAACCCTAGCAATCACCCCCAGACTATGACACAAGATAGCCCACTGGCAGATTTGTACCCAAAGCCCGTGTTCAGGGAACATGGCCTGGGTGTGCCCATGGCATTCTCCATGACTTTTTCTCATGTGCCCAATTCCTGCCCAGGGCAGAGGCAGACTGAGCTCAGCATCTGTCCTCTGCTCGGGGTGAGGATCACTACCTGGAAGGACCATCAAAGTCCAGGAGGCTCTCAGTCACCACATCCTGCCACAGGATGGGGCTCCAAGCTGAGGTGTGGAGGCTGCTGGGGATCTCAGTGTGCCAGGCCAGGCAGCATTGGGCAGGGGAGGGGTCTGAGTGGAAAGGTGCCTAGGGAGGAGTAGATGGGATAGGGACCTTCAGCTCCAAGTGAGAGGGTGGAAGCCCTCAGGTCTCTTTCCCCGGAAGGCATGGCTCTTTGTGTTTGCTGTCGGTTCCTGAGGCGGCAATGCAGGCAATGAGTCTCATGGGGTTGCTGTGATTCCCAGGCTCAGGGGTCTGTCTGAACCTTCAATACCAAGTGCATGAGTCTGGCTCTCGGTCTGCAGCCTGGAGTCTACAGACTCTTAACTCTGCCCCTCAGAGTTAAGAGGCCAGAGGGATGGGGCAGGGGTGGGGCAACTTAGGTCTTCCTGGAAGGAAGGATGGGACTAGAGTCCAGTTGTCCCAAACTGTCAGTCACCCCACCCTAACAGCCCTTCTCTGTTTGTAGTGTGAGACAGCAAGCAAGGGCCTTGGGAGGAGAATTTCACACGCTACACTTTTTATTTTAAACAGGACTGGGGATCAAACCCAGAGCCTCCCATATGCTAGGCAAGCATCCTTTGGCTGGACTTTACCCTCAGTCCTCAGAAGGATTGATCCTCTGTGAAACTGGAGGAGCATGAACAATTGTTTCAACCTGTTCCCGAAAGAGCAAATTTGGAAGACGAGGGCCTCATGCATTAGCAGGGCAATTTTTGTAGGCCTACTCCCTTTGCTAAGAGAAGACTCCCTGCTATTCCCACCCACCCCCAGATCCCAGACAGTTTTCTGCAAGCTGGTGGAGAGCAGGCGCCTGTGTATGGGGGGAACCTCAAAGTCCTGGGGGATTGACAGATGTTGAGATGATATAGACTCCCTCTGGAGGAGAACCTATGGATTTCAAATCAGGATGGATGCCTGTAAGCAGGGCGGGGGTTGACTTCTGCCATTTGAAGGGGACCATATGGTCGAGATGGATGTTGATGTGTATTCTAGTGTGTCCTTGGATGGATGATGCTCAGGTTTGGGGTACACCTTTGCTTTTGGTTGTACCTCGTTTAGTAGACAAAGAAACATGGACTCATTTTGTACAAGGTCTCACTTTGTACAAGGACTCATTAAACCTCAAAAAGGAACTTCCTTCTAGGAGGGTGAAATCTACCCTGTGAATGCTCCAAGTTAGCAATAGCCCTGGGATTTTGGTCTAGATGAGGGCCAGTGGTCCTCTTGAAGAACCAGAAAAGCCAGAATTCAGGAGGATGGAAAGGATGTCATCTTTTGCCATTTAATAGAGGATGGCCCGAGGCTGGAAGAAATGTACCTGTCACCAGCCTAACTTCTGCCTCTAGGCATGAGTGTCTCAAGGCTGGCCCGGACACTGACCCCAGCTCTGCAGCCATCTTTACAGCCATCTTTAAAGGTTGCTCTATGCCTTTATTTCCTTCTACTATCTGATCTAAGTCCCTCACACGTCTTATACTTGGATGGCATGTTCTTTGCTCCGGTTCTTTCCTGTGTGCTAATAAACCACTTCCTCCCTGACACTCTGCTTCCACTCCTAAGAGTCTCTCCAAAAACACAAATACTACCCATATCCATGCTTACAGATCGGCTTTGAAATACGTTTCCTCACCATCATTTGGCTTGAAAAACTTTCTGGCAGAGGGACTTTGCACTCTTCAAGCCTTCCCAAATGCACGGCTGATAGCATCAGCATAGAAACCGGCTCGGGAACATCCTACCTCCTTAGGAGAGAGTTGGGGTCGGTCCAAAGCAGGACATACAACTGTCCAGTGAACCACAGGTACTTAGAGTTAAGGCTCTTGTACCTCCCCTTAAACAGTGGCAGGAAGTGGCGGTGCCCAGTGGAGGGTCACTAGGGATGGAGTCTGGGGGTAGACTGGGTGTCTGAGAACCTGAGGAGTGCATGCTCTGGGATGGGAGATGCAGGACATGGCATGGCCTGGTGGAGACTGAAGAAGGGAAGAGAGCAGTCCCTTCAGCGGCCCCGCCTCCTTAGGCAGCTGCCTTTCTTCCCAAACCCCTCACTTCGTCAGGACAAGGGCAGTGGCTTCTGAAGAAGGGTAGTGAACCTTGAGTGTCTTCGATGCCATCAGCTTAGGAGCCTCCTTGTCTGTCTCATCTCCCACGGGACAGTAGGAAGGACTTTGACCTTGTGTCAGGAGCGCTGAGTGGCTCTGCCTGAGCCTGGCTCTCCAGAGTTAGCTGGTGGGGCCTCGGGGAGGAGCTCAATGTTTCTGACTCAGTGGCAGCCTGGAAATATGACACCTGTTTTAACCTCCAGACCATTTCTCTGCCCCACCCCGGAGCCTCAGCCGCGCTTGCCCCTCCCACAGGGGGTCTACTCTTTTCTGTCCTTGTTATTTAGTGACAGGGGTCCCTTTGAATGGGACCTAGGACAGGTCGGAGATCATTTCAGAGGCCAATCGGATGATAGGGCACCTGAAAGAATGTCTGGAATAGTTGCCTAGATGGGCTCAGGACCAGGCTGTGTGGACAGCTCCTTCTCCTGCCTCTTGGCAGAAGGGAATGGAGTTCAAACTCACCCTGGTCCTGGGCTGGGGTCATTGCGCGCACAATCACTCAGTGCTGGTCACACTAATTACAAGTGTACTAACGACTTTGGCAGCTTTACTCTGAAGACAGGAGGTGGGGGTGGGGAGCGGTGTGCAGAGCTTCGGGTCCAGGCTGCCTGTGCGTCCCCAGGACACTTTTCTACAGACACAGCGTCATCTTAGCCCCTTGCCCCCCAAGTGCTACAGCCAGTCTTGGAGGTGGTGACAGACACATCCTGGCTGGTGTGGCTTCTCTCCTGTAGCCCATTACATAAGTCATGGGGCTAGGCAGAGAGGTTGCCCCCTCTCTCTAGAATCCCCTGGAAAGCCAAACTTTGAGCAAACCCTTCCCTCCCACCAGTGAGACTGAGGGGGAGGGCCCCGAGGAGAAGCAAGGGGGACGGAGGAGGGGGGAAAGAATTGCAGGCTAGATTCCAGCCTCGCAGTTGGGATGTGACTTGCCTCAGTTTCTCTCCCAAGTCCCAGCTCCTGGATAGCTTTTGCCCAGACTTGTGTTGTGCTCTTTCCTCTCTTCCATAATCTATGTAGTCCAGTAGGACCAAGACTTTGAAAAGAGGTCATCAGGCAGAAGCAGCCCCCCAAATGACCTCAAATTTGGGATCTCAGGTCTAGGTCCATCTAAGGATTTCCAGGGACAGGCTAGGGCTTGACCTTACAGATTTCTGGATCCTCCTGGGGACCAGCTTCCTGGGCCGGTACACCAGGCCTTGCAGACTGCCACCCACCTAGACAGGATGGGGAAGAGCCTGAGGGGTGGCCACTGTAGCGCTCAGGTGAAAGGTCAGCCGGGACCCAGTCTGCTGCGTTTCCCTGTCCCCTCCCAAGTTTCAAGGAAGATGTTTATAAGGGTTGAGCCCTGCATCCCTCCTCTGAGCACCCGGGGGGAGCCCTGGACTGGGTCAGACAGAAAAACGATAGGCACCTACCTGGAGTGCTGGAGGGGCAATGCTGCGGCCGCCCGGTGAGCAGACCCTGCCGCCAGCCTCGCGGCTGCTTGGCCCCGCCGGCCCTAGCCACTGGCTGTCCTGGCGCGGTGGCAGCGGGCGAGGGTGCGTAAGTGTGTGCGCGCCCCGAGCCACTGCAGCATCTCTGCATCAGGATGCGCTCCTCCCTCTCACAGGCTCCGCTCACTGGCTGGCTCGGCTCCTCAGCCAACGCTCGGCCGGAGATGGCTTCCTCTGCCCCCTCCCACCCCGCCGTCCCCACCCTCCTGGCTCTACCTCATTTGCTGTCATTTAAGGACCAGGGAGCGAGCCGGAGCATCACTGTCTTCCATCAAGCTTGGCCAGTTCCGTGCCCAGCCCGGAACTGACGGCTGCAGTGGGGTGCGCTGAGGAGGCACAAAGAAAGTGTCTCTTGCTCTCCTGAAACCCTGGCGACACATGAGCACCAGGCTTCGCTCCTTCCCTAAACAAACCCTTGTTAGAGGACAGGATCTAAATCAAACCTCCAATTTTCTGTGGGGGGCAGCTGTGATTGAGTGCCACCCCGTCCCCTCACTCACCACGTTCCTCTTCCTTGTTTTTGCCCAGAAGTAACATGGGATTTTTTTTGGCAAAATGGTCAAACCATAAAAGAAATAAAAAATAGATAGCAAATGTCCCCAACCTCCATTCTTGACAAATTTGAGCACCACCTCTAGGTTTATATTTCACTTACATTTCATGGATTATCAGGATTTGTTTATGACAATGGGATCACAAAATACATCATAATTTGCAAAACATATTTGACTATGTAACTGAGCTTGGACACCTTTGCACACCAGTACACCCAGATCCAGCCCGTTTTCAACCAGCAAATGGTGCGACTTAATGAAAAGCTCATGGGACTGGAATCTGAGTGCCTATATATAGGGTCCACTCTGTGCTCTCCTATTGATGGGCTGTGGGTTTGGCTAAGCGCCTCACCTCCTTTGAGCCTCACTGGTAGCCTAAAAGGGTTAAAGACGGCCAAGGCCTCTGCTGGCTCTGAGATTCCAGGTGCTTACCCTGGGTAAAAGCATGCCTCTCCTATCCTGTTCCTGCCATGCGGGTACATGCCGGGGAAGACTGAAGCCTGCAGGCAGAGGGACCAGCCATCTGCAGCACCAATCAGTCCTGACAGGCTGTCACTGTTGCCTCACCCCACTCTGGTTTGCCTGCTGTCCAGGGTAAAACTGGATAGTGGTCCAGATGCTGCAACAGCTGGCAAGGCCAGCCGGCTTCTGAGTTTTAAATGCTATACCTGTCAGGTGTGAACATGGCTCCATATCTTGCTGGCTGGCCAGTGACTGTGGGCTTGCAGAGAAGGCATCCAAATGCTTGTTAGAGACACTTACACATCTCTTAGTCCGGTGCCTCTCCCGAGGGCAGGCACACCTGGAAGCGCAGTTTCTTTGTTTTGATACAGAGATGCCTAAACTCTAACAAGCTGTTTCTCATGTAATTTTGAATTAAATTTGTGACAAGACAGTCACATCCACTTCCTCGTGTGCTCTGCCCCTGATACTGCGGTCCTGTCTGTCTGTCTGGGACTAGTATGCTGTTCCCAAGGTCCCGAGGCACATCACACTGCTAACACCCCCACCCCCAAGTCCACCTTGCTCTACCCAGGGTCTCTGCAAGATATCTCCAGCAGAAGACAGTAGGATCCAATCCTTGCCAAACAGGGCGACATCTCTGCTGCTGTGGGACTGAGGAGCCGTGGGTCTGGAACTGCTTGCAGGATTGTTTTAGACAGAGACAGCTGTCTTTGTGACTCTATTTTAGGACAACTGCTGCCCTTGTGGTAGGGACCAGGTCTCTAGGGCAGGGTCATTAGTGTCAACAAATTTGTTCCCAGAGACTCTCTCAAATCCCCTTACAGCTAGCCTGCCCCACCACACGAAGGTGGATCCTGATAGGCAGGGCAGAAACAAGAATATATCCCAAGCTGGGACCACAGTTTAAAAAGACAGGTCCCAAGTTTGCCTTCTCACTTGTATAGACTGCTCAGCTGAGCCTGGTCCAGATGAGTGGGGGGTGGGCACCAGGGATCTTCAGTGCCTGTGTCTGGCATGCTCTGGGGTGTGCCTGAGGTAGGCATGTGAGGATCCAGGAAGAGCTTTGTCATGGGCTCCATAGTAGTAGAAGTGCTGTCTGCCCCCAGAAGGCTAGGAGCTGTGCTAAGAACTTTGTCCGACTCACTCACCTAGGAGGTACTTGTGCCACCCTCCTTATGTTCCTCCCCATCTCTCCTACGAAGCTGGCCATAGGCAACTAATGCAGCCGAGTGGTTGACCTAGAGCTCCTGGCTTAACTCTCTGCTGAGCATGCCAGTTGTCTGCAAAACAGAGGAGAGTCGTTTCCTGACTGGGGTGCCTGTTGTTGCCTGGAATCCCCACTGTGGTAACCATTAGGGCAACCCTTTCTTACGTGGAGAATCAAATTCTGATCTATCCGGAGCACCGAACTTGAGTCTCCACAGACTCCCAAATAGGGTGATGAAGGCACAGCCGAAGATAGCCAAGTGACTAATCAAATGGGCCACGGTTTTGGCTACAAACATTGGTGCCCCCTGGGAAGGCTCAGGAGGCATTCTGAGGACCATTCAATCCTTCCAGGACCATATGCTCTTCTCTGCCTTAGTCCCAGCAGATCAATAGCACTGGAGTCAAGAGGCGCTTCACCAGTCCACAACGGCCTGGGCCCAGTCCTAAGGGACAAGGGAGGATGAGACTTTGCTATAGCCTCTTGGCATTGGCATCTTTGCACTCTCTTTCCTCACCAGCACCATTTCTGTATCTCTTCTCTAGGCTGCTCTACACCAGCAGCATAGCTGCCTTTGGTTTCAGATTCTTCAGCCTTTTCCAGAGCTCCCAGGAAATCATACATGGCTGCCTAGAACAGCAGGGCTTCAAGAGCCAGAGAATGAGAATGTGGTTTACCTTCAAAGCACCCACAATCTCTTTGGAAGCTGTCTGCTGTCTGCTGTAGTATGTGGCTCTCCATCCACAGCCATAGCAACATGGCAGCAAGACACTGACGACAGACAAGCCTGGCTCTCTGCCCTGCTTCTGAGCATTTGTGTGACCATGAGCATGTGACCTTCTTACCCCCATCTGAAAATAAGGGTCAGCACACACACTCAGAGCTGTTGTCACACAAGAAGAGCTAACTTAGTAGGCTTTCCCTTGGTATTTCTGGAATGGCGACTGCCCAGCTGTAACACAAGGGCCTGTGCCCATGACAAGGAACACTTTATTTTTGTTTTCTCCCTGTCTGCTGCATTGAATAGGGTGACTACAGCTCTTCCACTGAGAGAACAGCCTGTCCCAGCTCAGCAACTCCTATCTAGATGACATTAGGTAAGCCACTGGATAATACTTGATTGCTCTAAGAGTCCATTCTCCTAAAAAGGCAAATAAATAAATTAAAAACAAAAACTAAGCAGTTGAGCCTAACCTTGAACAGTGTACGTGGCCTAGGATGACTTTGACGGTGTGATTCTCCTATCTCTTCCTTCCCAGTGCTGGAATTACAATCGCAAACTACCATGTCTGATTTTATTTGGTACCGGGGATGGAACCCAGTTGTACAGGCTAGGCAAACACTCCCTCAGTGGGTGTATATTTCCAGTTTCCATCCCTATAATCCACTCAGTAAAGTGGGAATGATTTTACTTCTGTTTAGGATGGTTGAGTGGCTATGTGGGCTAACCAGTAAATTTCTAAAGGGACTTCATGGATTGTCAGCTGCTATCCAAAGTTTCCATTGCTAATCTACTGCTATCTTGGTCATGCAGTATCTGGAGAGAGAGGTCATCTTACCCAGTCCTCATCCTTCTACTTAGTATGATTCCTGGTACATGGCAGAAATCCAGTAGGACAAGCTGACTAGGTGAACAGTAGACAGTGCTCAGGGTACCAGTCAGAGGGCGAGGAAGGAGTGGGCAGAGGTTGATGAAAACATCAGTGGGATAAGGAGAAACGCCTCCTGGAGCTGACTGGATAGACGAGGAGAATGTCAGTGATGCTTTTCTGGCATAGAGCATGGGCGTGGCAGGAGCCTGGACGTGGGGCCTGTGTAGGGAGCAGGATTTAGGTAGTGTCAGGAGGAGTTAGATTGACCTGAGCAGGGGTCCAGAAAGGAAATCTCCATATTCTATCTTTGCATTTGCCTTCCTAATTTCACTTAAGGGCCTGGAGGGGTCTATGGCCCAGAGGGGCCTAATTATTCTCTTTGCCATTTCAACCCTGGGCTCCCCAAGCTTCTTTATAAGGCTTATAATAGACAATGCTAATGCCATTATTAATATTTAATGATAATGATGCTAATAATGCCCGCATTTATGTGGTCTCTCCACTAGCTCAAAGAACCCTGAGTTCTTCTTTTTCTTTCTTTCTTTTTTGAAACAATTTGGCAGAGGACAGGGAAACGGGAGTGGAGAGGGATCCAGGCCCCAGGAAGCTGGAGGCAGCCAAGTTCAGGGACAAGGCCAGGGTTGCAGAGCAGTGGGGACAAGGATGGACTAGGATGGTGCTGGTGGACCCTGCCTGAGTTCTGCCCCACACTGAGATGTGAGAGGGACAGGTCCGGTACAGGCAACTTTTGGTTCTGGCAAGAAGCATATTCTCCAGGCGGGGTGGGGATGAGGGGACAGGTTTAGGGGCAGTGGTGACCCTGAAGTAGGCAGGTAGCCTTTGAATGCTCTTTTTTAAAAAAAATACCTTTATTGTCTCTGTTAGTTATTTTCACAATGTACATAATGGAGTTTAATCACCCCTTTCAGCTAATCTCCTTCCGCTTCTCAACTAGCCTCTCTTCTACTTTATTTAAAAAAATTTTTTTTGTGATGATTCAATGTGTTTCTTTAGGGTTGTTTACAGGCACATGGTAAGAGTTTGTTTACAGGGGCATTTTATAAGTGGCTCTGCTAATGAAGAAATGTGTCTCCTCCCACCTCATCAACCATTAACTACTGTATAAATTCTTTTTTTGTTGTTTCGTTGTTTTGTTTTTCAAAACTGGGTTTCTCTGTGAAACAGTCCTGGCTGTCCTGGAACTCGCTCTGTAGGCCAGGCTGGCCTCAAAC